CTAGATTCCAGTTGTTTAACAACTGGGATCTCTATTCCTTTTAAACTCAGTCTAAACCTTATTCCTGAAATACCCTCAGATCTTTCACTTATACGAACATGGACTAGAATTTCCATGCACATTAAAGTTCACTTCTTGGCTATCACGCTCAGATCACTATGATCTGGAGGTTTTCTATTTGCTCAAAAATTAAATGTTTTCTAATTTGTTATGTCATACTAGTAAAAACAGAAATTGTTAGTATGAAGGCAGTCAGTAAAAGGAGACAATACAAACAATGACACTGGAAGCACAAGTGTTTTATAGAAGGATGAACTCACTGAAAATTTTAATTTTTAAGGGCTGACTAACTTTTCAATTTGATCCCACATGACATCAAACAAAGGTGAAAATGTTCTGTTATTCTCCATGAATTATGTAAGACATTTTGCTTTTCATTACTTTAGAGACAGGTATATCTAGGGTTCACTTGTCAATAAGTGAACAAGTCTTTAGAAAACGGAGAGAGGTCAAAAAAGGAGCTTTATCTGGCCATTCTCTTTCAACATTTGGCTTGCTGTGATTCCAAATGGAAAACCCAAAGAGGAGCACTCTATCTTTGCTATAGGTAAAAATCACTGATTTTGACCAAGGCAATGGTTCCCACAGAATTCTCATCTTTTTCTCTCACCCACCACAACTATGTATTTCTTCCAGGTCAAGAACTCAAAGGGAAGCTCTGGTGATATACTCCGTAAAGAGTTGAGTTGCTAAACCAAAGGTGCCTCTTTGGCAATTCGAATCCACCAGCAGTTTCAAGGGAGAAAGATAGTCTTCTCCATGCAATTTAAAGCCCCAGAAAAGCTGCTAGAGAGTTAGTTATGAGTAGTCAGTTCCAACTTGATGGCAATGAGTGAAGTTGTGCAAGGACTTAAAGACCAAGTCATATCACTTGAGTATATTCAATGACAAATATGGCTGTTATGTGCTGTTGAATCAACTGTGACTCACAGTGACCCTATGAACAGCAAGTGTGAGCTTGGTCCTATTCTGTGCCATCTTTGACACACTCAAGCCCATTATTACAGTCACTATGTCAATCTATCTTTTTTAATATCTTACTTTCTCTGATTCTCCACTTTCACAAGCACTCTTTTTCTGACCCTGCTCTTCCCAAGGACTTGCCACTCCTGACACTGGCATGCTCAAATTATGTGAGACAAAGCTTCACCATCCTTGCCTTCAAGGGTCACCCTAATTTCACTTTCTCCAAGTTTGTTCTCTTGGTAGTTCATGGGATATTCAGTACTGTTTCCCAGGACCAAAACTCAAAGGCATTGATTCTTCTTCTGTCATCCTTAGTCACTGTCCAACTTTGATGCATAGCAAACAACTGATAAGATGATGGTTTGTATTAGACACACCTTAGTCTTTAAACTGACATCATTACTCTTTAGTATTGTGGTGCAGCACCAACAGCAGGTTTTCCCAATGCAAGTTCAATGACAGAAGGAGAGTTCAATTTAGCTTATTAAAACTTTTTCTTCTTTGCTTAGACAAAGGGAGAAAAAAATCTAACACGTGAAGCCACTCAATGGCGACGTCTCTCTTTAATCCTATGAAACACGTGAAGTTGCCATGAACTGGAGTTGACTCAACCACCACTAACAAAGGCAATCAAACATAAAATCCAAATCCACCCAATATGTCAGAAATTTTTGAGGAAAAGAGTCTTGAAAACAAATTCTGACAGTAGAGCAATTTATGTCTTGTGTCTCTCCTTAAACTTAACTTCTTTCCAGTGTTTCCTCTCAGATTCCCACTGCCCTCTCCCTTTCTTTCATTCTTAATTGGATCCTATCAATTTCAGTTGAGCTTTCTCTTTTGCTTATGGTGATCTTTTAATCTCCTTTTCACCCTCCTCCATTATTCCAAAATGTGCCATTGACTAGTACTTCCCACTCCTATCTGACCTCCCATTCTCACTCTCAGGTGTCTTATCTGTCTATATCATGCACACACAGGCAGAAGCCCCCTCAGTTCCCCATATCCATTAGAAATCAGTGTCTGTTCTCCTCCATATACATTAGTCCAGTGGAAGAGTGGACTATTTAAAGCCATTCAAGCAAACTTCCTTTAATAACTTAAAAGCATTGTTTTTGTACTCACTTTTTTTGGGTAACAATCCTAGGTTTCTATATTTTATGAATTGTCACTATACAATCTATAAACTTATCAAATACTCTCATTCTTCACAAATGATTATCTTCATTAATATCACATTTTAATATTTCTTATTTGAAATTACTATTATTTTTAAGATAATTGCTATAATTTTCTACTCGTTAGTTTTGGAATGTACTCACTTCTTAAAACAATCAAAAAACTAAAAACTAAGTGGTCAAAAGATTGACATTGTTCAGAAGGCAGGAAGGAGCAATATTAATGGAAATAAGAATCATAAAAAAGAAGCAGGAAGACCACAGTAACATTGTGGGTATATGAAATGAAATACATATGTATGGTTGGTTGGAAAACTAGTTTACAAACTTTCACTCAAAAATTACAATAGAAAATTAAAATTTTTATGAATGTTAGTTTAATTTATACATCACAGAAGTACATAACAAAGTAAAAGCTTGCCTTCCCATTCAACTCCAGCTAACATTTGTTTGGCAAATACTTTTTTCCTATACTTACTCAAAGTCTAGATCTATAAGACAAACTATCTTAAGGCATAGTATATTAATTGAGAGAAATTCTCAAGATTTATCTGGAAAAAAATGAAAGCTCTTGCCATACGACTTTGGGTTCATTTGTCCTTCATTTAATAAAGTCAACAATTTAATATCAAATATGCAACTGTTACTGCATTAATTTATGTGTTTCTTGCATTTTAAAGTTTCTTCAGCTATCTCTTATTTTGTGGCTTACCTTTCTCTCAAATTCAAAATAGTCCTCTCTTAACTGTGTCTCTCACCTCATTCTTTCCCTTTCTTGAAGAACAGCTTCCCTGCTATTGCCTTGTTTTCTCACTTCCCACTCATTCTTCAGTACTTTGCACTTGTGCTTCTGCACCATCTCTCACTTGCTTCAGTAGACACATTATAGGAACCGGTCCCTCTGCAGCTCTAGACTCTACTATACACAGTCCCTTTGAAACTCCTCCTCAGCCTGCGACCCTTTTCTTTTCCTGTTCTGTTCATGGATTTTATGATTCCCAGCAACAGGTGGTTTTGTCCTCCAGTAGCCATATGGTAGAATCTACTGACATTTTTGGTCCTCACAATTAAAAGAAAACTGCTACTGGCAGTTAGTGTGTAGAGATTAACGATGTTACCGAATATTGCAACAAAGATATCTAGTCTAAAATGTCCAGAGTGAGTATCTTTTGGAATCTTACCCCCAAAGGCATTCTGACAAATACAAACCCTAGAAATTTAGTCTCAAAACTTGATAATGTCCACACCTGCTCCAAAAGGCAACAATCAAAAAGCACATCCAGTTGCTGTAGAGATGTCCCAGTATCACAAGAGCTTCTCAGTTTTCAAACTCACTGTCCTTGGACATTGTCCAATTGTCTTCATTTGTGCCAGTCTGGTCCAGATATGATTCCTCATCATTTTTCCACCTGTGGGCTATATCATACATTTAACTCCCTTAACACAACTTATAGTCATAATGGAGAAGCAGACCACATTCTCTCTGAGCTCCTGACCCTCACCTACCTTCATTCTGTCCTCAATCCACCTCCATTCCTTTGAAAAACTATTTCCCATTGGAAATTATTACCTTTTTATCCCACATTGCTGAATTCACTGAAGGAGCTGAATTCACTGATGGGAGCTCTGGAGGCATAGTTTGTACGGATCCGTGGTGTTATCTAGAGATGGTGCCTCTCTGGTGGTTCAAATCCACCAGTGGCTCCTTGAGAGGAAGAGTGTACAATCTCTTACTGTGTCTTCCCAAAAAATCCTCTGGGGGGTCAATTATGAGTTGGTTCTGATGCAATGACAATAAATTTTGAGTTTGAATTAACAGAAAGGTTTGTATGGCAGATTCATCATTATATATATAATAGATGGGGAGTGGAATCATCTTCGTTCTGTGCTGTAAAACAGTAAACCCTCTTGCACTCTCAATTGTTGACTCACCTTAGTGACAGTTGAATGAGCTCCTTGTTAAACTTTGACTTTTCCTGGTTCTGCCCAGTGGGGACTGGGAAAGTTTCTCTAGTCACAGATCATAGATCCATAGCAGTTCTTTGACTGTAAACAGTCATCTTCTGTCCACAGCCTTAAGGGATTCTCTCAGGAGTGGTAGGTCTCTGATATGTTGTCTTGAGTCAAGCATAAATCCAGATGAACCTCAGGCTTGTTCTCATAGCTTCATGGACTATAACTCCCTCAGGTCATGAATGAGCTTCCTATTGAGTCTATTCCTGTAATTCAGAAATCCCCACTACCCACCACTCTTGATGCACCTCTCTAGCCAGTTTAACATTTTCTTTGCTAGTCTATTATTTGCAACTACTGTCCTTATACCAGTTTCTAAATTGTACATAATCTAGTTGCTCAGAACAAGAACCTACTCAAGCTAGTACAAGTAAGGAAAAAGGGATCTAAGTAAAGGGAATGTTCACGCATCACTGCTGAAAGTGAGAAAGTGGCCAGATAAGCTACTATCTCTAGGGTTACAGGATCAACACCGTGTTGCTTCTTCACACCTTTCTATTGCCAAGGACCTTATCTTTGTCTTCTCTAAAAAACACTTTTCTCTATAAAACATGCTAATATTCTGGAACACAAAAAGAATCTTCAAAACATGTATCTACCTCTCTCCTCTCAACCACTGAATCTACAATTCCCTCAATACCCACAGTATACCCTTTATCCTCCATCCCATTGCCCACCCTCCCACTGTTCCTTTACCTCCCTCTTAGCTTCATTCCTCTCCCCCCCTTCTGAAAATGTATTTCCCATTATGTTATATTTATGTTCTAGTTCATATTTATAAGTTTACTAAGAGTTTTGTAGCCAGATCCCCCTCCCACAGCGGAAGCAAATATTCCGCCTTGAAAAATTCACAGCTTTACACCAAGGACAGTCCCAATCCCCCAGCCTGCGCACTAGTGGGGCCCTCCTCTGCTGAGATGGTTCTGCATCTCTCCTTCTTCTTTGGGTTTCTTGAGGATCTATTCTATGAGTTACCCTATTAGACCTCCCCCAGTGGAGAGCTGGCTTAGGTGGAGGTGCTGCAACCGATGAGGTTGTTGGAGATGGTGTGGGTGGGTCTGGGAATGAGTACGAGTATGAGAAAGAGGCAGGAAGTTGGATAGGAAGGAGTGTCTGTGAATCTGGGGGCTCTTCTTTTGAGACCTTGGGGAAAGAAAATATACTTGTGTCTATGGACCTGAGCTCACTCTCCTGCGTTGTAGTGGTGAATTTTTTCCAGTCCATAGCACCAAGAAAATCCATGAAGCGCCCCCCTAGCTCCTCTGCTGTTTCAGTAACAGGAGTGGTAGCAGTCCCTGCCACATTCTTTTTCCCTCCTGTGGTGGTGGTAGCAGGAGCAGCAGTAGCAGTACCAGCAACTACTACCTCCTTTTTGCCACTTTGTTCTGTCCCAGCGCGGCTCACAGTGGTCCGGTTTGACCACTCGGTGGCCACTGCCTCCTCTTCACCTTCTACTTCTTCCCTACCCCTACTAGCAATGAGCAGGCTTAACCAGTCTGTGACCAATGGCTTTTTTTCTTTCTTGCCTTTTCCTTTTGTCCAAGCCTCACCAGTTGTGGCCAGGTTTAGCCACTCTGTGGCCACTACTTCCTCTTCTGCCTTGACTTCTTCTCCCCTAGCCTCACTGGCAGTGGTCAGGTTTGGCCACCCTGTAGTCACTACCTTTTTTTCCTCCTTGCTTTCTTCTGTCCAGGTTCCACTGGAAGTGGCCAAACTCAGCCATCTTGTGACCACTGGATCCTCTTCACTTTCTCCTCCAATCTTAGTTTCACTGGCAGTGGCTAGCCTTGGCCAACCTGTGGCCACTACTTCCTCTTCCTTCTGGCCTTCTACAACAGACCCACTGGCAGTAGTAAGACTTTGCGATCCTGTAGTCCACTCCATGGATTGCTGCTGCATGCCCTGCAGAGAAGAGGGTAGAGCTGAGAATTGTTCTGATAAAGTGAGAGTGGAACCTGGGAGCCATGGTAAAGAAATATTGAGGAGGGGCTTTCAGGCTAGGACAGGTGCCAACAAGGGCCCTAGGATGGGGGAGTGCCTTGGGTGGGGGAGGGAGGGTCTAGACATGGGAGGAACTGGATGAGGGGGTCTGGGTGGAGGAATTGGATGATGGGGACTGGGTAGGGAAACTGGACAAGGGGAGACGGGGTGGGGAGGTACTGGGGTTGGAGCAGGACTAAGGCCAAGTCTGGGGCTGTTCTGGGTTAGGAGAGGAATGAAGGCCAAGAATCTGGAGCACTACTTACAGCCTGGAGGAACTTCCATCTCAGCAGGTCTCGCTCCTTCTGCACCTCTTTCAGAGAGGTCTGGAGCAGCTGCAGCTGAGTGGCTGTCTTCTTGTTTTCTAGCTCATGTCGTTCAGTGAGCTCCTTAAGGTTTTTGGCCAGGGCTAACGCAGCTGACTTGTGCAGCCTGGCGAAGTCGTGCAGCCACTGCACCCTGCACTCCAGTAACTCCCTCTGCCTGCGGGAAAAGCGCACACTCAGTGCCAGGCCGCTCCAAGCACAGGCTTGCTTGGCCTGCATGGACACAGTGCTGTCCTTCAGGATAGTCTCAAGCTTGTTCTCCACTGCATTCCAGGACAGGGATCTATTATCGAAGTAGAACTCGGGACCTTTTACGTCTTCGGCCATCTTCTTATTGATAAAGGCCACCACTTCGGCACTGTGGAACCCACAACAAGGATCTTCGAAATTCAAGGCCATGAGAACTGAGAGCCTTACCAGCTTTTCTCTGCAAAAGGGTGGGGGGGAGAACAGACAGTTGTATCTTCCCTCTCCCTCTTTCCCTCCAACCCTCAGAATGATCCTCTGATTGGCTTTTGCTACTCTAAAGACTGAGACGTATTGACTCTGACTGGAGAAATGGGATTAGGTGTGTCGGAGACGGAGATTGGCTCAGGATAGAGCAGGCTACAGAGGGTCCGTATGAGTCGCATGTGACTTGACGACACATAACAACAACAAAGGCACCTCATACTAGGCCCCACCTATCCAGTCAGGGGCCAGAGGAGGCACACACCAATTCCGCACCCACCTACCACACCCAGAGAAAGACATACCTCTCTTTTTCCTTCCAATGTCTCCAGGGCGGGAAAGTTTGCCTCAGGGCCAAGTCCCAAGGCTTGTACACTGCGACCGTTCCATTTTCCAGACACTATGGGGTGAGTCGGAGTGAAAGGAGACTGCTTCCTCTTCTAATCGAGATTATAAGGGAAGTCATTACCAGTATGAAAGCCCTAGATGACGGGGGAAAAAACAGGACCTGTCAAAAAAACAACTTGAAAGCAAGAAAATAAAGCTCTTAAAAGTAAGTAAAATAGTACCCCTTCCATAATGGTTTGTCTCTCGACATGTTCAAGTAGGGAGACGCACCTCTTCTTGGTGGTAGAATATTCCAGATAAAGAAACGCCTTGTTCTTTCAGTGGTGCCACCTACTGGAGGAAGATTCTATGTCTGTAGCTGCCACTTCAGAGAAAGTTCTGATTTCTAGTACCAACAAACTTCTCTTGCGTTGAGCCAGGTAACAAATATGAGTTTCTCTGAGACTTAGAACTTTCCGATAGTCTAACGGGTAGAGGTCTTGTGCAGGTAAAATAAAGGTGACACCTCTGTGGCAGTTGGAATCCACTAACAACTCGACTGGTGCAATTTACAGTCTCCAAAAACCTGTTGGAGGCACATTTAATTCTTAATGACAATGAGATGAATTGAGTTGAGTCTGAATTTTACAATTTATGGTCTCAACTACTTGTACCACAAAAGAAACCATGAACAATACTTGGGTTCAAAAGTAAGAGTGTTCCAATAAAATTTTATCCAGAACAGTAGAGAGCTGTCAGCATTTGGCTCATAATGTGCTTCCTCCTATATCTGTATGTTTGTAAATATTTTATCTTTTTGCTCAAAGCAGAAACCCTAATATCAATATCAACATATACCTTCCTCTATGTTGACCAAGTCACCAATTCTTGTTGATAGTACTGCAGAGACTTTGTGGACATCCATTTCTACTTTAGGAACCCTATGTCTTTCCCAAATTATCTCCTGGGCTTTAATATCTTAATTCTTAATATCTTGCAAATACTTTTAAATGATCAGTCTTCTCTAATTTAAAAATATTTTCTTGTTCTCTTGAGCTGATTATCAAATCTGTTTTGACTTTCACTATATTCTACCTTTATAACTATTCTCTCCATTGTTTTCTCTTCCATTATTTATGCACCCTTAAACCAGTCATGCAGAGATATACTAATTTTGGATCTTAAATTCTTTTTCCTACTGAATAGAAAAATCATTATTTATTATATGGACATTTTGTTCAGTTCTATGAATCACATTGAAAAAGACAACACTACCTGTTTAAGGGTCTCATGTCATTTAGTAAGAGGAAAACTAATAAACCAGGCATTAAAATATTACCTCTTAAAGTAGTTAAAACATTTTCCATTATCTCTTAAAATACTATCTTATATATATATTTTTTTCCAATCTCAACTTCTGTGTTTTATTTATTAATTCTCAGTGGAAATAGTTCTTGTTCTGAGATGGTCTACTGTGATTTCTGCATAAAGAGCACTTGAAGATAGTATAGAAAACGCAGTGATGAGGAAAGGTAGAAAGAATTGAGTCAGAGAGACCTATGTATGTCAAAGTAGTTCAAATCATGAACCAGGGAATTAGGGGTGAGAAGCCATTTGATAGACAGAGTTTATAGAGCTGTCAGAGACAAACACATGGGAATGTTTAAGATATCTCCCATTTTTCTGTTATAGGAGACATAGTAGACAGTGGTAGATAGAGGTAGATGGGGAATAAGAAGTTGTTTGAACATGTTGTTATTGTTGTTATGTGCCATCGAGTCATTTGCAAATCATAGTGACCCTATGTACAAGAGCCCTAAACGCCGTTCTATCCTGTGCCAACCTTGCCATCTCAAACACACTCATTCCTACCACTCCACTCACAGAATCGATTCATGTCATTGAGGGTCTTCCTCTTCTGCACTGTCCCTTCACTCTCCCAAACATGATGTCCCTCTCCAAGGACCAGTCCCTCCTTGCAACATGCCCAAAGTGTGTCAGACAAAGCTTCAGAATCCTTGACTCCAAGGAGCATTCAGACTTCACCTTCTCCAGGACAAACCTGTTTGTTCACCTAGCAGTCCATGGTATATTCCATACTCTTCTCCAGCACCACAGCTCAAAGACATCAATTCTCCTTCTATCATCCCTATTCACTGTCCAACTCTCTGATGCATAGCACGTAACTGAGAAGACTATAGCCTGAATCAGGCACACCTTAGTCTCCAGCCTGACATCGTTGCTCTTCAGTACTCTTGAGAGGTCCCTGACAGCTGACTTTCCCAATGCAATTTGTCCCTCGATTTCCTGGCTGCTGCTATCAAGAGTGTTGACTGTGGAACCAAGCAAACTAAAACTGTTAACTATCTCAGTCTCTTCACCATCCATACTGATGCTGCCAATTGGCCAAGTGGTGAGAATCCTTGTTTTCCTGACGTTGGGCCCCAATCCATTTGGAAGCTGCAGTCCTTGACCTTCTGCAGCAAGCACTTCAGGTCCTCCTCAGTTTCAGCAAGCAGAGTTGTGTCATCTGCATAGCGCTGGTTGTTGATGATACTTTGACCAATCCTGATGCCACATTCCTCCTCATACAGCCCAGCATCTCATATGATCTGTTCTGCATACAGATTGAAAAGGTATGGAGACAAAATACATCCCTGATGAGTCCCCTTCTTGATTTTGAACCATCCAGTGTCTCCTTGCTCTGTTCTGACGACTGCCTCTTGGTCCAAGTACAGGTTTCACATTAGCACAATCAAATGTTCTGTGATTCCCATTCTTCTCAGAGTCAGCCATAGCTTATTGTGATCTACACAGTCAAAAGCTTTTGCATAGTCAATGAAGCACAGAAGACATTCTTCTGGTATTGTCCGCTTTCTGCCAAGATCCATCTAACATTAGCTATAATATCCCTAGGACCACGACCTCTTCTAAATCCAGCCTGCACATCTGGCAGTTCTCTGTAGACATACTGCTCCAAACATTTTTGGATAATTTTCAGCAGAATCTTGCTTGGATGTGATATTAATGATGTTGTTCGATAATTTCAGCACTCTGTTGGGTCACCTTTCCTTGGAATGGGAAAAATATCAGTCTTTTCCAGTCAGTTGGCCAGCTGGCTGTTCTCCATATTTCTTGGCACAACTTAATGAGTATATCCAGAGCATCATCTGTTTGTTGAAATAAATCAGTTGGTATACCTGTAGGACAGTCTTGGTAGACATGCTTTTTAGGCAATTGGATATGTGAATCTGAACCTTGGGAGAGACATTTAAATGTATCCCAACTATTCTTGAGATGATGTCTAAATTCAGGTGAGACATAATCACTCTACACTTTGACTCATGTACTTGTTTCAATTTTCTTTAGCTTCAACTTAAACTTATATATATGTAATTGATTATCTCTTCTGAAATTGTCTTCTGGCCCTGTTCTGGCCAGCAATATTAGGTTTCCCATCATCTCTTTCCACAGATGTAGTTGATTTGCTTTCTACGTTTTTCATTTGTATTATACCAGTTATGGTATTATATAAAGGTGTTTGCAGTGAATAAAGTATTGGTCTTACAAATATGACCTCTAACATTGTTTATATCAGGGTTATGTTTTACAACTCGTAATCACTTTTATTTTCATCTTTTATATTTCCATGAATCACCAGAGACTTTAAGTCCATATCAATTGCATGTTTGTCAAATTTAAGACTGCTAACATTGGTAAAAATATTTTATTTTTTTCATCTTTGGTGTTACTATTTGATGGATAAATTTTAATAACTGTCATATTAACTTGAAGGTATGTTATTGTTGTTGTTAGATGCAATTAATTCTACTACAACTCATAGCAACCTTCTAAACAACAGATCTGAACCTTACCCTTATCTTGCACTGTTGTCATAGTCTCTCATATACTCAATCACATTGTTACAGTCACTATATCAATTCATTTGGTTGGGAGGTTTCTTTTTCTCTGACCTACAACCTTTTTCAGCATGATGTAATTTTCCATGAACTGTCCTCTCTTGACAGCATGCCCAAAGTATGTGAGATGAAGTTTTATAATCTTTGCTTCTAATTAGTACCCTGCTTATGCATTCTCCAAGACAGACTTACTTGTTCCTTAGTCAATCCATTGAGTATTCTGTATTCTTTTTTAACTCCACAACTCAAAGGCATCAATTCTTCTGTAATTCTTATTCATTTCCCAACTTTCAGATGCATAGGAAACAATTGAAAAGATCATGACTTTTATCAGGCACACCTTAGTGTTTAAACTGACATCATTGCTCCTTAGTACTTTAGAAAAGACACTAACAGCAGATTTTCCCAATGTAATTTATCTTTTGATTTATTGATGGCTTTTATCTGAGGTTGGTTGTGGATCCAAGTATAAGGAAATCCTTGACAGCTTCACTCTTCTCCCCATCTATCATGATATTGCCTATTGGTCCAGTGGTGAGGATTTTGTTTTTTTTGATGTTGAGATGTAATCCATATTGAAGGCTGTACTCTTTGATCTTCTCCAGCAACCACTTCAAATCCTCCTCACTTTCAGCAAGGAAGGTTGTGTCATACACATAATGCTAATTGTTGATGAATCATCCTCCATTTTTCATGCCATAT